TAAATATCGTTTGTTGTAGTATATTATTAATTATTTTAAATATATTTATATTTATTATCTACAAAAAATATTAAATGTATATTTCTTGGGGAGGGGGGGGGGCGTTTGTTAAATGTTGCCCCAGGGCGCTTAACGTCTAAATGCGCCACTGGATATACCTAGGAGGCTAGTGAAATACAGAACCGCTGATTACGTAAGAGCATTTGAGGACACACCATTTACACCGCCACCATCACCAAGATAAAATAAAATAAAATAAAATAAAATAAAATATAGTAAAATATAATAAGATAAATAAAAAAAATTAAAAAAAAAAATATATATATATTAATCATAATAATAAGTATAATAATGATTTGAGTGTTAAATCTAGTCGAATAAGTAATAAGTAACTGTGTTGCAGAAAATAAGAAGAAATCAGTCTAACTAAAAAAAAACCAAACAAATATATCTAAAATGGATAACACGCCGAGGGACTACTTACACGTCCTAACGCTACAAGCTATTGATTTTTTCCGAGAATTAAAAAACGAACCACCGACTGGCACACACCTACAAACAGTAGAGGGTGATACCATAATACTAGGTTGTTTTCGGCAACACGTATTAAATGCAAATAACTTAATGACATCACCAATGACGGATAGTTTTAAATTTGATTATGACACCCAGTGCCGGCGCTAGGTTTTGCGGGGCCCGGGGCAAGTAAAAAATGCGGGGCCCTCATTCGTATCTTATACATTACATCCCCATTCCAAATTAATTATATAGATTTAATTCAAAAGATAATGTTGTCCATCGATTTTAAAACCAACAATTATTTTACATTAAGTAGGTATGTAAAGAAAATCACAAACAATCAATGATAAATGTATAATCATATTATTATTTGCATACAAAATAAACTAATAAGTAAGGTTAAAATACTACTAGTATTATACTAGTAGATAAGTAATAACTTATAAATAACTTATAAACGAAGTTTAAAAAAAATGAGTGTGCTGAACAATGAACAATATTTTTTTTATATTAAATACATAATAAATTGTTAAAGTAAAATGTTATCAGTTATAATTCTTTAATTTTTCTAGCTTTTTTAGATGCAAAATCATTTATTATATCTTCATAATTTAGTTGTTCTGAAGTTCTTTTTCTATAGAAATTGTAGCAAGACCAGTAAGTCTTTGTTGTGACATGGTACTTCGTAAATAAGTTTTAATAAGTTTTAATTTTGAGAATGTTCTCTCTGCTCCAGCTGATGTAAGCGGAATTGTCAACATAATTCGTAAGGCAATATTTAAGTTGGGAAATGCGTTCGTTTTTTTTATTTCAGAAAGTACTTGAAGTGGTGTAGTATTTTTATCAATTAAATGGCGGAAAATTAATATTTCTTCGAATAAATCATAACCATTTAAATCTTTTTTGTCATTATCTGACAAACGTATTTCCAAATCTTTGCAGCAATTAAAAATTTCTAAATCAGGGACATAACAAAGTTTTTCAACATCATACAAAAATCCAAAAACGTCATTAAATGTATTTATTTGATCGAATCGCTTTGTTATTGCACTTATTGCACCATCCACTATAACTAAGAAGTAATTACATTTAAATTCATCTTCTGTGTTTTGTATGACGTCATCGGCTCCTTCGTATCCAAACATTTGTTTTTTTTTTCGTAATCGTTGTATTTTAAAGGCTGGTTCAATTTTTAACTTGTTTGCTAAATCACATGCTTCTCTTTTGGCCGCATTAAAACCATCATTTCTGTACTCGGTTAAGAATATTTGGAGAGCTTTAAGTAACTTTGTAGATGTATTTAAATTAGTTTGTGGATTTTGAAGTGATTTGCTAACAATATTTACTTCATTCAAAACGCTGTACCAAATACAAAAACTAATTAAAAAATTGTAAGTACACATTTCTGCAGTTAATGAATTCGTTTCACTCGATATCATGGAATCATTAGTTGTTTCATTAATTTCATCTAAAGCATCTATGATTTCCTTAACCTGAAACCTAATCGCTTTAACACTTGAGTGGCGACTTTCCCACCTGGTTTCTGACCACTTTTTAACAGTCCATTGATGGCAATGTTTTTTAAAAATACCCCATCGAGCAGTCGATGCTGAAAATATAGTAAATATTCTTTCTATAGTCCCAAAAAAGTGCATAGCTCGTGCAGAGGTTTTAGCCGTATCTTTTAGAACTAGATTGAGGCTATGTGCCCAACAAGGCATAAACAAAGCTCGAGGGTTCTGATTTAAAATTCTACTTTGGACACCTTGATATTGACCAACCATATTGGCACCGTTATCGTAACCCTGTCCACGGCAGTCAGCTATATCAATATCATAATCTTTTAATTTTTTTAAAAGTACATTCGAAAGATTTAACCCAGTAGAAGAACAAATATTTGTAAAATCTATAAAGAATTCCTTAATAGTAGGATTTGTAAATTCATCGTCTAAACTCATGTCTACAATTCTAATAACTAAAGAAAGTTGCTCTTGGCGGCTTATGTCTGGCGTACAATCCATAATAACGGCATAATATTTGGCAGATTTAATTTTTTGAATAATTTTTTTATTTATTTCGCTGGCCATTATCTCAATTAACTCATTTTGTATATCATGCCCTAGGTAATGAGTATGAGTTTTATGATCTCTTATTCTTTTCAAATGTTCAAAAATGAAAGGGTCAAATTTGGCAAACATTTCCATCAGACCTAGAAATTTGCCATTATTAGGTTGGTAAAGAATGTCCGTGTTACCTCTAAATGCGTCGTTATGCTTAGCCAAAAAATGTATTGCCGCTATAATACGCTTTAAGACTTCTTTCCAATGATTTTTTTCTTTTTCTAAGAGTATCTGATGGGCTTTATCAATAGTCTCTAATTTTCCTAATCTTTGCCTCAATTCTGACCAATCAATTGCACTTTTTATGTGAGCTTGAGAAATTTCATGCGTTTTCAATCTTTCAGATATATGTTTCCAGTCCCTTAAACCAACAGTAGCCAAAGAACTAATACGTAGATTCGTTGCGTGACTTGGAAAAAGTTTACAACAAAAACAATAGACGCGATCACTCGAAACACTATATACTAGCCACTGACGATCAATAAACTCACCATTAGATAATTTTCTAGAATACAAACTATTAGAAAATTGTCTTTCAGTTTTATCAATTGAGCTAATAGGATATTTTATGTTAATATTTCTTCTTGGTCCAAGTTTGACTAAATCAACTCTTAGGTAGGAATTTATAGAATCTGGCCAGTTATAAGGGTCTGATAAGACGTCTATGTCTTTAACAACATTTAAAATAGTTGTTGAATCTAGATTATGCGATATTGGCTTTTCACTTTTTTCACTTGAAGGTGGTAAAGCAATATCTAAATTTTCATTAAAAACATTTTCTACGACGGACTGTGGTTTAGATTGGTCTTGTTTATTTAATATTTGTTCATTATTAGAATTAGAAGTACTACTAGACTGTGGTATTGGCTTTTCACTTTTTTCACTTGAAGGTGGTAAAGCAATATCTAAATTTTCATTAAAAACATTTTCTACGACGGACTGTGGTTTAGATTGGTCTTGTTTATTTAATATTTGTTCATTATTAGAATTAGAAGTACTACTAGACTGTGGTAATTGAAGAAATCGCGACATTGACCCTCGTTGTTTTTTTATAAATTCTTCTTTTTTTTGTTTTTTAATTCTTTTTTGGTGCCCAGAGGGATAGGAACGAAATTTATCGCGATCGTGACTGTCCATAGTAGATTGGATAAATAACTAAAAATAACGAAATTATTTTACTGATTGCTAAATATCGATTATTTATATAATTATATATTTATATGTGAACATCTATATATTTATTATGACTACATAAGATACCAGAAATATCAAATTTACCGTAAAATTAAAACCAGTCTTGTAGTTAAGACTTACAGATCAAGCCGATTTAATATTATTTCAACGAAAACAATAGTATTTTTAATGATGCCAAATTGTTGTGAAAAATAATGAATAATGTGAATTTTGTGGTATTTAAATACAAGTATTTATATTATGCTAAAAATACTCTTAAAAAGTATTCAGAATGTTTAAAAAATACATTAAAAACATTGTATTTAGAATAGGTACCAAAAAATACTTCAAAAAGTATTTTAATACTCGTATTCAAATACTTGTATTCGAATACTTTACAAGACTGATTATAACAAATAAATTATAAAATTACTTACTTAAGATAAAAAGAGCTACGTTGAAATATATATGAATTTCTCTAATAGCAGTCCGCACTCCTGCTTCGCTATCTTCAAAATGAAGAATTAAAAATATAAAATAAATATGTTCTAATGTTCTAATATGTTATATGAAACAAAAATTATACGTCGTCGCCCGTCGGCTGTCACTCGAATTTTCCTGGGAATCCGATAACAAATCTACCCGTATCACTGTTTAATCTTTATCGAATATTTTACGTATTTTATTTATATCTCTCGTAGAAAGTAGGCAACTATTAGTATATATATATATATTATACATGTACATATTATTAGCTACATCAAATGCGATAAGCCAATAACGACGATACAACCGTCGAGCATTTTAGTTTTAACAATCATTATAAACAACAAAAATAATTCGGTAGAACGTAGAAATCAACTTAAATTTAATGTGATACATGGGTATTTTGGGTAATATATTTTTTTTGTTAGTATAAAGCCGGGTCCACACGATGATAGTAAAACGCGATAGTTGCTATCGTGAAAGCTGCTATCATGAGAGTGTCACCGTGTGAACAGGTTGATAGTCACTATCAAACTATCGCGATAGCGACTCTCGTACTATCAGGCGTGCTTGATAGTGTGAGAGTTGCTATCATGAGAGACGTGGTTACTATCACCAAATATCACCGTATGAACGTATACAATCGGACTATCGTGAAAGTAGTTATAAATGGTTATCAATTTTAGTTTATTTTTAGAAAATTGTAATTTGTTAATTGACTATATCAACTATTAAATATTAATTTTTGTCCACTGCTGACTGCTATATAAATTAAGTATTATAAGTGTTGTTTTTCTTTCATTTCTTCTGTAAGTACTTATAAACTAACGTTATGACTAAACAATTCAATATATTTGATTTTTTGGAAGAGTATGAGAAGCTACCATGTTTATGGGATAAAGACAGCGATGATTTTAAATTGAGAACAAAAAGAGATAATGCAGAGGAGTATCTTCTCAAGACGTTTAACATAACTACTGTGAAAGAGTTGAGGCAAAAAATAAGAAGTATAAGGTGATATTTTATACAATTACTAAGCTATCTACCACATTGACCTAGGTAGATCGTAGATACTAGATATATTATTATTTCTTGATTACAACAGTCGTAGAATATTATCTTTCAGATGCACTTATAATCAAGAAGTGTCAAAAATTAAATCATCAATGACAACAGGGTCTGGTTTGAATAATATATATAAACCAAAGTTGGTTTGGTTTGATTTGGCAAACAGTTTTTTAAAAAAAACTCATCAAAATAAAAATGAAACAGATACAAATTTGGCAAGTATTTTGTATTATTGTTTGTTTTTTAATTAATATATATTTATTTAACAATATGCATTATAATATAATATTATTAATAACTTGAAAATCTCAAAAAATTATAAAAAACATTCTTCAACATGCATGATGCATGACAACCTTTTTAAATTTGACTAATCTAAAGTGAATTATAAATCTTAAAAATAAATAACAAATTATGAATTACAAAAAAATCTGCAAATTATATTATTATATTATTTTTAATTTATACATAAAAACAAAATATTTTTCAATATATTTATAATGTCTTATTCAATCATTCGATCCTGCCATGTAACTGCACCTTCCCCCATAAAATAATCAGCCAAACTGTCTCTTTTGTCTTTTGCTTCATTTAAATAATTACGTTGACTTGTTGCTGCTATGTTTATGACTCCAGTGGATTGTGGTTCTTTTCTCCATTGTCCAGGGATGAGTATACCATTCTCTAGATCTTCAATATCTAGAATGATTTCTATTGTTTGATTTAAACCACTTTTTCTGATCCAATTGTGGAGAGAACATGCAGCCTTAACAAGTTTGACTACAGTACTTGGTAAAAGACGTAGCGGTCGTCTAAACACTCTGAATCTGCTTGACAAAATACCAAAACTGTTTTCCACAATCCGCTTAGCCCGACAATGTCTGTAATTATATATTTTTTGTTTCTTTGTTAAAATGTTACGCCTTGGATATGGCTTCATCAGATATTTTGTTAATGGAAATGCTTCATCGCCCAACATCACAGCTTCATCTGGCAAATTTAATTGATTTTCTTCAATAGCCTTTTTTAGTGTACATTTACTAAAAATACCACCATCTGATGCACTTCCATAAGCACCAACATCGATGCAGGTAAAATTATAGCTGTGATCTACCAGTGCCAAGAGCACAATACTAAAACTGCCTTTGTAGTTATAAAAATTAGATCCCGAATTCGCTGGACATTCAATTATAATGTGTTTTCCGTCAATTGCTCCAAAACAATTCGGAAAATTCCACGATAAATTGAAACCATGAACAATACTGTCCCAATCATTTTTTGTTTTTGGAACCTAAAATAAAATAATAAATAAATCATTGAACAGCACCAGAATACATAAAAGTTATATTTATTGTCTAAAATTATTCATTATACAAATGTCTCCACCTTAAACCCTGGACGACGTTTAAAGACTAGTGGTGCCTACTAGTCGACTAGTCCACAAACCACTACTACCTATCCCGCCATGAAGTGCTATTATTGAATAGCTTCTTCAATAAAGCCAACCCTGACCCATTATGTATCCCTCCATTGTGCTGTTATTTTAAATATTGTTTTTTCTTACAGATTGTACCTTAAATAAATATGACAAAAAAAAATAAAAAAAATATTCATTATTTTATATCATATAATAATCAGATAATATTAAAATATATTTCAGATATAAACACCAAAAGGAAATTTCACGAATAGTGAAGTCATTTCTCAGGAAAAATTTGAAGATTCACTAGTAGAATCAAATGAGCACTTGGAACAACTAAGACAGAATATTGATGATACAAATTCAGATGTAAATACTTCACAGCCCACAAGTAAAATTAAAAAAAAAAACAAACTGATGACAAAATCAAAACAAAAAAAAAAAATTGATGATTCTTTGGACAACGCTGTTGATGCATTAAAATATGTTTGTTCTAAACAAGCAAATGAAAACGAATTTGTTTTATTTGGAAAGCTTGTTGGAACTCAACTCCAAAAACTTCCATTACAACATGCACTAAATGTACAAAACGAAATTCAAAATTTGCTGATTAAAGAACGTCTCAAGGCTATGTCGAATCAATCAAATTTGCAGTGTCCTGACTATAATTCAATGTCCACTAATGATATATTTATGCCAATAGACCATACTGACCATACTAAAATTTTAAGTGAGAGTAATGAAGATATTGATTATGAATATGTAAGTTTAGAATGTCAACCACAAGATGAAAGACCATCAAATGTGACTCTATTCTATAATAATTTTAAAAATTGAACTTGGTATTATATATTATGAACAATCTGTAGCATCCAAAGACTGGACTTTTTTTGAATTTTAGTTGAAATAATTTATGGTTTAATAATATCTTTCATAAATTTATAAAGAACAAATTATAAAATATGTTAAATTTAAGACATACTATTTATTTGTTATTATTACACAGTTAACTATTATTATTATTAAGTTCTTAATCTAATGAAAGACTAAATGTTTATGTTTAAATTTAAAAAAAAAAATCAAATAGCTAATGATAATTTATATAAAAAAGGTTAGTTATATAATAATTTTTGCTATTTGTTTTATACTATTATTTTATCATTTTATCTTAATATTAATGGTACTATTTATTTGTTAATATTACTCTCTGTCAAAAATAAATGAAAGGAAACTATGCTATTATGCTTTAAAGTGTATGGTGAAAATTAATAAACATGTGTTTTTCTACCTGGATAAATTCTTTTAATCCTGCATATATTGCATCGAAAACATCAGGCATAAATTCACTAATAGCAGATTTTGAAACCCTGTATAAATATTGTAGAGATGTATATGAGTCTCCGGTTGCTAGAAATCTTAATGCTATTTCTAATTTAATTCTCGGTGTTAATGCCTCTCTCATAGCTGTATCTTGTTTTGAAATTTGGTCTTTAACCTGCAAAAGAACATAGGTAAATTATATGTTAATTATTTTTCATAAATATAATAAAAGTTTTGTTGTCATTACCTTTCCTAGTAAAATATTGAACATTGATTCATTTATTCTAAGAAAATTGAAATAATTTCTCGGGTCTTCAACAGCTAACTCTTTTAACAATGTATTCGATGCTCCTAGATTATTTCTTCGTTTTATCCAATCTTTAACCCATATTTTTTTTTTTTTAGATTTTTTATACCTTTTTAATTTTATTATTTCTTCAACTACACGTAATACAGCACAAATAGTTTCATTCGAGGACATTTTCAACAAAAGAAATACAATTACTATAATATAATATTATTTATTAATTATTTCACTATCGAAGTTTACTATCACTCGTTTACCATTGTATGGATAATCCCATCTATGATAGTCAACTATCACAGTCTATCGCGATAGCAGCTATCGCGTTTTACTATCATCGTGTGGACCCGGCTTAATAGTATATGTTGGGTATACAAAGCCTCATGATCAAAAATTGACTTAATTTATGTTTTTTTGGTTTCATTCAGGTGGGAGCACTATAAATATCGGGGCCCCAAAATCGCGGGGCCCGGGGCACGTGCCCCGCTCGCCCCGACGATTGCTCCGGCACTGATGACACCAGTGACAACATTCATACACAATTGTGGATGATGCGGAACCAGACCGATCTGTATGCCTAACAATAGGCGCGATCATAGACCAATTAATTCAGTCACGATTATTGGCACTAAACGAATACGATGACTAAACATAGACATAGTAATATAAAAACTAGCTACTAACACATTTTAACATATTGAATTTATTATAAATTATTTATTTTAGTTCCCAGGTTCGTTTCTTCATAGTAGATTTCGAATTCACTATGGTCAATAAAAATGACATACTATTATGTATCCGGCGCCATATCAAACAGCTTAGACAAATATAAGCCTGTAAAACTTGAGGGAATACCTCTCATACTTACTAAGGATGATAAGTTGAGAAGGTTCCGGCGCTGTGACTTAAACACCGTTGTGCAAAACATTAAGAGGATATTTCGGCATAAGACAGAATTGATGACACCATTGTTGGAACAGTTATTATACCAAAGTGTTAACATGTAGGGGGCCTCAACTTTGTCTACGACTTATCTTCAAAAATATTTAAGCATACCTGAAAGGGAACCAATAATAGTATTTTGGAGCGGATCAATGGATATGACTATAATTAAGCGTTTAAGGTTAAGGGGAATACTTAAATATTTAAATTTAACGGCATATAGCGATAAAAATAATAATGAATTTAATTTAAAACTAACAAACGTAGAAAGTAAGGATCAATTATATTCGGGATACATAGGAACAGTAACTAAAAATGACAGGATGTTGAATTTACTTGAGACACATGGACTAGTGTGTAATATAAATCATAATATAACACATTGTCATGATCCAGTGGCTGATATAAATTTAACAAAATGTATTTTTAATTATGTCGTAACTAAAATTAGACCTATTAAACTATATAAAATATGTAAAAAGGAAAAGAAACGAAAATAAATATAAAAAAATAGAGGCATAAGAGTAAATTTATAGGCAATAACAATTAACGTAAGCTATTAAAAAAAAAAAAATATATATAAAAAAACAACAAAACACATGAGATGTGAGGTAAAGGGTTTCCTATTAATATATATTACATTTATTCTAGAGAAAAGAAATTCATTGAAGAATTAAAGAATATCATAGGCAACGAAGTACATATATATAGATATAAGGAAAATAAAATTCAATCGATATGCATATGTCAACACTTATTAAAAGCAAATAAAAGGATTAGTCAACCTTTTGAATTTAAGAGACTAAATAAAATAACTAGGAATATCGAACTATTTATGAAGGATCATTGTAAGGGGGAATGTAAGGAACTTTTGAAAATAATCGAAATGACACGAGACTCTAGATACATACTTGATTGCCCAAAATAAATTTAAATTTAAAAAAACAAAGATAATAAAAAAAAAAAAGAAATATTTATATTATTAAATATAAACATACAAATGTAACAATGTTGAATATGGTATTCACATAAATTGGAGAAGGATTTTAAAAACATTATTTATACAAGGGAAACTAACACTTATTATTATTAATATTATTATAATCATTATTTTATAAGAGAAAAATATCATTCATATTAATTATTATTAATATTATTATAATCATTATTTTATAAGAGAAAAATATCATTCATATTATATACAAATACTAACACAATTACTTATTTAAAACATGAACTATGGAACCTATTGTAAATGGCATGAGCCATATTAATAAAAAAAAAATTGTAAATGAAATAATAACCTGTAACACATTTTAACTAATTTCTCAGACTATGAAATTGTAAACTGTAATGAAAATATGATGTAATGTGATAATAGCAATAACTAAGAAAAAAATTGTAAAGATTTCTGTCTTGCAGACATAAACCTATTTTTTCGCGGGGAGGTGTTGCGGGCCTTGGCATCTCGGCATACACAATATAATATAGAATATATTAACCTTTCATAATGTTATTACGGTCTTAAACTCCGTATATATAATTGACATAAATATTATAATAATGTAGTATAGAATATGTACTAGCTGCCCCTATCTATGTAATAAATCACGGGACAGGTACACGACTAGAAATCATGGACACGAGTCACTATCCTAAGAATCGGCAACAACAACCGAAACACACACACACATACAAGCTGCACGTGCCGCCGCATCAAAAGAACCGCCATCACTTATAAGGGAGCCTATGGGACAGCCTGGGCGGATGTATCACAGTCACGGAGACCAGAGCAACTTCTCGTCACACGCGCACACGCTATTATACTCTTACTATATTTTCTGCTAAATAAACGTAATTCTACAGTTCAATTTGGTACTTGTTGATTTGTCTCTAAAGCTTACGGCTTTTGGAGCCTTTGAGATTACGCACACAACATACAACTGTTTTTTAGAACAAATTTTCTTTAAAATCTAAAATTCAAGAAAAATGCACTACATTGTTCAAAACTACATAAAAAAATGATCTATAATATGAAATAATAAACTACAATTATGAAAAAATTACTTTAAAAAACAAAACATTACATTTAAAGTTCAAATGCCTAAAATTAGTATATTTTGAATCAAGAGGGCATGAAACCAATTGTTAGTTAAGGTAGCATTTTATAGAATCAATTTAAAAAAAATGCAGTCATAAAAATCCTATCTTTAGTAATGATAAAAAGACACAAATCGTTGTAAAATCAATACATTCATCGTTTCTCTCAGAATCTAAAATGATAAAATTAACATTTTTGTATAAGACTAATAGGTACATTCCTTCCCATACCCAGATTCTAATAAAATAATTAAACAATTATTCAAGGTGTAAGCTTTTACAGTTAAATAAGTCGTAGATAAATACACTAAAAGTACCTATATGCCATAGTACCTAGGCATATTTTTATAGTATAACTTAATAATTTCATACAAATACATTATTATTTTATAATAGATACCGACTACACAAGAAGGATGGATTAAAATTTCCGAAGAATTTGAATCCTGTTGGAACTTTCCACACTGTATAGGAGCTATGGATGGGAAACACGTGGTGTTACAAGCTCCTTTCAATAGTGGTAGTGAGTTTTTTAACTATAAATCTACTTTCGCATTGTGTTATTTGCACTAGTGGACGCAAACTACAATTTTATAAATCTTTGTGGACTGTGGCTGCCAAGGGAGGATTTCTGATGGAGGTGTTTTTAAAAACTCAGAGCTCTTCAAAAATATGGAAAACCAATCGCTTTCTCTACCATCTCCAACACCTCTACCTGGCAGAACTAAATCCATACCATATTATATGATTGGCGACGAAGCATTACCATTAAACAACAATTTTATGAAGGTTTATTCGGGCATGCACCCGAAAGGTAGCACAAAAAGAAATTTCAATTATCGACTATGTAGAGCACGACGTGTTGTCGAAAACATATTCGGAATTTCGTCATCGGTATTTCGAGTACTGCGAAAGCCAATCTTATTGGAGCCCGAGAAAGCTGAAATAATAATTATGGCCGTAGCGCATTTGCACAATTTTTTGAGAAAAAGTATGCATTCGGTTAACATGTACACACCACCTGGAACTTTTGATACTGAAACTAATGGCAAATTGACACAGGGAAGCTGGCGAATGGAAAATCAAAATACTAATACATTAGTTTCTCTAAGAAATTTACCGCGGAGATCAACATTAATCGCGCAAGAAATTCGCGACGAGATTGCCGACTACTGCATGAATGAAGGGCGTGTTCCGTGGCAAGAACAGTATGCTTAGCCTATATTCCTATTAAGTATTTACATAATGATTTACCTATATATTGTATATACTAGCTGTATTAGGAACTTATTAATTTTATTACAATATGTTAATGTCCTTATATTATACAATATACTTACAGTACTCAAAGCAGAACGAGGTATATTTTTGTCCATAAGGAATGATAAAGATTTAAATGCGAACCACGTACCCTCATAAACTTCATCTCTGCCTTTAACAACAGAACAAATAAATTATTACTTTTTTTTAAAATTAATAAATGATATACGTATGTGTATGTATTTATTTATTTATTGTAATTTTGACTGCACATTAAAAAAAAAGCGGATATTGCTCTGTTTTACTGCAGGTTACAAGTGCAGGGTCACTGTATGGATGGTGTTACATTTGAATTAAATTATATAAAACCATTGAACCTATACAAAAAAAAGATTCTGAGCAAAGGTGGTCTATAATATTACTTAGTAATTTAGTATATTTGTTTATATTATTGTGATCAAAGTAATTTATTTTACTATTAGGCATTAATACTGCTTGAGGTAAAATCCATTTTTGCCAAAAAAATACTTTTGAAAAGTCATTGCGTTTATAAAATATTTAAATATAATAATAATACTCTTTAAGTTTCAAGTACCTACGAATAATATTTTTAATTTACAAAAAATAACATAAATCATTATTCTTGGTTATCTAACATGTAATTTCGTCCACATTTGATTTTGAAATCTTAGATATAAAAATAAATTTTTTTATTTATTTCAAACTCAAAATTATTTGCTAATTTTCGTGATTTTTATGAATTTTGTCAAAATTGTAAATTCAGACAGGTACACAAATTTATTGTGGATTTACGCTCAAGTTTTTTTTTTTAATTTCCTCTCACTAAATCGATGAACCTTGCATTACACTTTAAAGTTTTTTGACAAAGCAAAAATTTTTTTGATTGACATTGGTTAAAAAAAACAAATAATAATCAAAAATTGTATAGCCTATTTATAGTTTAACATGAGTCAAAATATTTTGAAAATTTTATGGTGTATAGAAAACGCAGATATAACATATAAATATTCAGTGAACATTTCATGTATCAATTTTTTTAGTTACATCACAAACCAATATCGATTTTTTCGTAAACCGGGTTTCAGTTTTGACCCACTAAGATTAATAATAATAATAATAATTAATAATAACTATAGATTCACTTTCCTACCAGAAAAGATGCTGTTGAAGAAAGTCAAAGCACTTTTACTGCCCCAAAACGTGAAGGCAGTCACAAAAAACGAAAAACACTGCATTGTAAAATTAATACATTCGTCCCTCCGCTCAGAATCTAAAATGTGTTACCCATTATGTTAAATAATAAGATATTGGTTCAAAATTACCTGTTCCAGTTCCGTGACTTCGTTTTATTTTCGATTTCTCTCTACGCAATGATGATTGCAAACTATTAACTATTAGCTTACAATCATCTAAACTGATTCCCATTTCGGTTGCTAATTCTTCCCAGGCATCATTCTTTGTATACTTATTATAATAATTCGGATTTTTCTGATCCCACAACACAGGTTTATTGTGATCAGGGCTTGCAAACGTTATAATAACGTTATATTTGATAAAAAACGATTGAAATTTGTAAACGTAATTATAACGGAAAACGATAAACGTAAATAAATAAATAACACAAAACAAAACGTAACGTTTAACAAAATATATGATGTATCATTAAACAAAACATAGCGCAAAACGGTATATATTGTATTCCATTAAACTAAATAATTAATTCCCAATTATTTAATAATACTTAGTAGTATTCAATTATTTATTCAATCCAAGAATTAATTTTATTCCGTATCCGGCCTATCCGGGAGATCCCGTATTAGATATTATTTTAAAACTTAATAAGAAGTTATTAATAGAATAATTTAATTACCAATAGCTAATAATAGTGATGCTCTGATAATATTGTACTGTACTATCTGTACTACGGTCGAAATTTATACCACTCAAGTTATTCAACTATTGTGTTCGGTGTTTAGTTTGCTCAGATTTATTCACTCGTCAGTGTTTGTCTAATTGTTGTCAAATGTTTAATATTTATATTTTATACTAATACTTATAGTTTTAACGTGCATACGTTTTCTTTATATTAGTTTAACCCATTTAATTAAATAAATAAAATTAAACAATACCTACTTAAAACTCAGAATAGGGAAATTATGTCCCCAAAAAAATATCATAGTCGTATACTTTTAAATTGCGGCCTGTGTACCTTTAAAACAGGTATCTAAATACTTTTAAATTTTAAATAACGATAAACGCAAAAATTGTATAACGTTTTAATTATGAATAACGATAAACGCAAAAATTGTATAACATTTTAATTCTGAATAACGATAAACACAATAGTTGAACAACGTTTAAATTTTGAATAACGATAAACTCAAAATTTGTATAACGTTTTGATTGTAAATAACGTAAGACAAAATTTATTTTTCAAATGCAAGCCCTGATTGTGATACATTTCAATAAACTCTAATGTTTTTTCATTGTTCCACTTAAAATTATCTTTACTGCTCGTCATTATAAAATAATTGATGATAAACTGTGTGTAGTAAAAAACTTTTAATATGTGCCACAGTTTGAGTCGGCCATACGCAGTGTTTGGCGAGTTCCTTATAAAAAGGAATTCGTTCCGTTCCTCGTTCTTTTTAATAAAATAGGAATTCGTTCCGTTCCTCGTTCCTTCAAAAAAAAAAAAGAGTTCGTTCCTTTGTCGTTCCTTTAAAAAATGAACGAGTTCCTTTTTAGTTCCAAATAAAATAAAAATTCTTATTTAATCATACATTTTTTTTTATTCATATACCTATATACTTTAGTGCTTTACTTTTTATTATACATATACATACCTAGAAGTACATTTTTATAATTTACTAATTAGTAAATACCAAATACTGATACAAATATGATATTAAAATATTAAATCAAATAGAAACTGGTTTTTTTTTATTCATAAAATTGTTTTAAATAATATAAATTAATATATATAACAATATAACAATTAACAATAGACTATATTATAGTCTAAGAAATTAGTTCTTCTAAAACAGAACAAAATTAATATATTATAAGTACTACAATCTAAAGTGTAATTTTGTTCTGTTTTAGAAGAACTAATTTCTCAAAAAGTTCATCCCCTAGTCTGTAACGTTTAACAGTCATTACATTGGATCCAGTAGAAAACAGTCTCTCGACAGGAGCACTTGAGGGCATTGGTGTATTGTACTCCAAAAATGCTTTCATAACTTCTGGATAAGACAATAACATAGTTATCTCATTCAATGGACTTTTCAGGTACATTTTTAACTCATTTGCAGAAGAACTTTTTGATTGATTATTCAATGGAAGACAAAAAAAATTTTGTGCTTTATCAAATTCTTTGTTTGTAGTATCACTTGTATCATTTTCATCGTTTTCTTTACAGTAGAACAAAGCTTTCAAATTTTTCTCAGCTAAACACTGATCATATTTATCAAGCCAAATAAGTTTGAATCTTGGAATTAAACATGCAGCTAATATTAATTCGTTTTTTTTCCAAATTGGTTCAAATCTTTTTTCAATAGATTCGATGATTGTTTGTAAAAGAGGTGCACAGTAAACTAACTTTTCGTTGTCGATCGCTTTTAATTTTTTTTCCAACGCATAAAGACTTGGCAATAAAAAGCCCATGTACATACTTTCTTCCCCTTGTAAAAAGTCTAAGGTATCAGCTAAATGTGACATAACATCACAATACTCATTCATCAGTTGAATTTCTTGTAGTGTGAACCGTTGTATTTCACAATAGTCTAATACCTGATTGATCTTGTCTAATCCATTTTGTGCATTTAATATATTTTTTAATTGTAACAAAGCATCATACATGCAGTTCCACCTAGTTTTATTTGGCGTTTTAAAATAAACTCCTAAAGTATCATGTATTTTTTCAGCTGCTAGAGGAGACATGTTTTGCTTAGACCACATTGATGAACATTTTCCAAGCATTTTTCTATAAAACTTTTTAAAATTAGTATTTGTATTAATCATTTTATCAACATCTGATTTTGCGATAAGGTCCAACGTGTGACTTGCACATCTATAGTGAGGAGGTAACTGAATAAATGTGTCAGATTCTTGTTCTAATGCAGATGTTGAATTTAATATATCAAATAAGTCAACATTCTCATTTTCATCATCCGAGTCTGGGTCATTATCAGAGTCTGAATTATTGGTATTAGAATAAGTATTAAATGCCTTGACAAAGTTTGAACCATTGTCAGTAGTTGTTGAAACAATTTTGTTTTGAATTTTATATGTTGTATAGATTTTATATAATGCCTTTGCAATAACATCATAAGTATGGCGACCTTGGAGACGACAGCATGCTAATGATACAGATTCTCTTTTAAAACTTTTGGAGTTTATCCAGTGACATGTGACCCCAATATAGCTCTTTTTTCCTTTGGTCCAGCAATCAGCTGTTGTAGATACATAAAAAACTGATGATAATGTATTAGTTATATTGTATACCATGGATAAATAGAGTTTTTCAATTTGTAATTTTAAACTTTTACTGGACATGACTTTTAAATCTTTTGTTAAACCTAGTCTAACCAGATTTACAAATGAAGGTTTATCAACCACACTCAGTGGTTGAGTATTACTCACAATAAATTTCAATAGCAAATCATTTAATTTGTGCTGAGTAAGGCCTTCTTTACCAGATCCACAACGTTCTAGTGTTAACTGATTCAAGGGTTTTGTGGTTTCATCAGTTCCCAAACCAAAACACTGTTTTTTAATAACGTACTTTTGTTTGCCATCATTTAAAGCATTTTCAAAATCATTGTTTCTGTATTGATGTACTCTCTGAAACATTATTATAATCTTTTAGAAAGTAATTAATTAATATTTAAAGATTTTATCATTTTGATCAACTGTCAATATTTAATATTCTTAACTAAAAAGTCAATACATTTTATTATAACATACCTTCATGTGTCGTTTAAGGTTTGATGGTGTGGTTTTTGATACACTGTGTAATTTAGTTGAAGGTTCGCATAATACACAATGTACAAGCAAATTATTCCCTTTACAGCCTTTACAAACAAAAAACTTTTCTATTCCTGGCCAAGGCATAGACGGTATCACTACAGTCTACAATACAAATGTTATAAATTAAATTAAAAATATAAGTATGATAGAAGTATTAAGTAATAATTATTACAAAATTTAAGTTTTTCACAATTATATATTTATAATTTATATGTACCTATAGACTATAGTGTCCTAGTACTAGTACTTACTTTATGGCTTGTGTCACAGTGGCGCAACCAGGGGGGGGGACTCCGGGTCTGGACCCCCCCCCCCCTCGGCACGTATAATAGTAAATTAATATCATATTATTTTCATAAAACTTGAATAAATATAAATTGATTTTTTGACTACAACAATTAAGTAATGTTGTGGCTACACTGCTACAGTGCAATAGCCATTAACTATCAAGTTTACATGTTATCTGTGGTCTTAATAATTATTACCATGACCATGGTTCTAGACAAAGAGTAAACTCTATGATTCTTGATATCTGATTTATCAACAACTGTTATTAAATGCAATAAATTTCGAATGTCGATTATCGTTACAATAAATTGATATTTTCGTTTTTGTTTTTTTTTGGTCTTAGAACTTTAGTAGTTTAGTTTCGTTTAGTTTAGTTTACTACAATGAATAGTTCTATAAAAGATTTTTTTACTACTTGTAGACCTAGTTCTAGTAGTACTAATATTAATAATCTCGGTGTAAAATCAGTTGTTGCTACTTCTTCACAAGTTCCTGATAAAAGTGTTTTATCAGTCAAGTGTTCTACAAGTACCAATGACTCTAAAGAAACTGAAGACAACAATCATAGCATTTTTGATATAACGGCATATATTGGTAAACAAATGTCCATCTATGAAAAACTTGAAGCGCTTAATACAATTTGGATCCCAGGTAAAAACCATAATTTTCCAATTACACTGCATGGCAATAAAAAATTAAAATTTCAACTTTCTTGGCTTGATAAATGGAATTGGATAGCTTACAGTAGTCTATTTGATGGTGCTTATTGTGAATACTGTGTATTATTTGCCATTAAAAAAGGAGGAAAAGGAGGTCAATTGCTTGGACAGCTTTGTAGTCAGCCATTCAAAAATTGGAAGCACGCTACAGAAAAATTTAAATTGCACGAAAGCACTAATTATCATACCAACTGTATTTTAGATTTTCAATCTTTGTCTACTGTAGTTTCAGGGCAAACACCGTCTGTGCACAATCAACTAAATATCGCTTCAAGACAACAAAAAGAAGATAATAGAAAAATAATTTTGCCAGTTATAAAGTCTGTGATACTCTGTGGTCGTCAGGGAATATCAATTAGAGGTCATCGAGATTATGGTCCTTTGGAATTAAATGAACCAACACAAAATGATGGTAATTTTCGCGCAATATTGAGATTTTATATAAACGCAACTGGAATATCGGGAGATAATAGCCATATATTAGCTCGAGAAAACTGTAAAAAAAATGCCCAATATATCAGCTGGAAAATACAAAACCAGATTGTTGATGCTTGTTATACAGTAGTGTCAAAAAAAATTGTTAAAAAAATTAATTTATGTAAATATTTTTCTATTATTGCTGATGAGACTGCTGATATCTCCGGTATTGAGCAGTTTTCACTTTGTGCCAGATATTTTGATTCTACTGATAAAATAATTCATGAGGACTTTTTAAAGTTTGTACCTGTTCATGATGTGAGTGGTAGAGCTCTAGCAGACACAATAATAAATGAACTAAAAAGTTTGAACATAGATATCAAACATTTAAGAGGTCAAGGGTATGATGGTGCTGCCACTATGAGTGGCAAATTTAATGGAGTTGCTACATTAATTAAAAACAAATATCCCACTGCGCTGTATATTCATTGTAGTTCTCATAACCTTAATCTTTCAATATCATATTCTTGTAATTTACCACAAATCAGAAATACTATGGGTACCATTGAAAGTGTTTACTTATTTTTTAATACACCTAAAAGACAAAAGTTTTTCACTGAACAATTAGAAATGTTTAAAAAAGAGGAAAGTATGAAAGATGATGGTTGTCATTCAAAAAAANTGGTCGCATATATAAGAGTGTAATATATTAGGGACGGTGGACTTATTCGATTTAAAACGACACACTACACTATTAATTCGATAGAATTTAAAACTACTTAGCCCTAAACGCGCTGTGGAAACTATATATATGTACAAATATACAAAGGCATGGGTGGGCGGCAGGTCAAAACACTCGGCATTAGGCTGGAGAGAGTATATTATTATACCTTTTATACCATAAAATATTTTATTACGGCCGTCCAGCATATAACGGCTATCAAGCAATCCTTTTTTAACGTCCGACGTGTGTATCACCTTATTTCATACGAATTCGTTTGGCGAGATTCAAATCTGAAAATTACAAACTTAATAATAAGTGTTACATAGTGACAGTACTGTTGTGCGTTTACGCAAGGTAAACGGACTTTTTTCCATACTCGTGTTAAATGTTTTTTCTTGATATTCAAGGTTTTGCGAACATCAATATCTCCTGAATAATAAATTTCAAAGGTAAATAAGTGTAAACGAATAATTTATTCGGATATGATTATTTAGTGTTGGAACATTGCACACGGAAAAAAATATTTAGTAAGATTAACCATTTTTAAAGTTAGTTCAACTTTAAATTCTAGTTATATATGTGACAACCAGATAATTAGTTGATATGACTAAATTATTTTAGTTGAATTTATTGTAATTATAAAAATAATTATTTGGTTAGATCAACCAATTTTTAGTTGTTACAACTATTATTTTTGGTTAAATTTATAGTAATATTGAAAGAAAATTTAGGTCACATCAACCAATTTTTAGTTGTTAAAACTATTTTTGTTGTTGAATTTATTGTGATATTGAATAAAAATTCAGGTTGTTTCAACCAATTTTTAGTTGTTTCAACTATTAATTTCAGTGGCGTATTTACGAGGGGGGCATGGGGGATAGATCCTCCTGGTCTCTTATTTCTTACTACTTTATAACATTGTGATGTTGATAGTAAGTTAACTCCCCCCCCCCCCCCCTTGACCAAACCCTAAGTACGCCACAATTTAATTTAGGACAAATTTATAGTAATATTGAAAATTTTCTTCTGTTAACTTTTACTTTTTTAAATTTTCTTTTTACAATTTGCATTTTCATCACATTAAATAGAACTTCTTCCATAGGGAGGTCCTGGAGGTGCTTGAGCTGTTTAAAATATTGTTGTGATAAATAACATAAATACTTGCAGTAAAATATATTTGTTTATTCAGTTTAAAGATAGATTGAATACATAATTATGTTAAATTTTTAGTTTCTAAATGGTATCATGTAGTCTCCATTAGAAAGTGTACAATAAAAAGTAGGAGATACATTAACAATATCTTCAATAGATATACATAATACATTTAAATTTCCATTAATATTTACATGATATGCTTGAAAGTGATTATCAAAATTGATAGTTTCTATTAAACAACAAACGAAAAAAGTTTTAGAACCATCAACAAATATTGATTTGATTATACCAAATCTTGGAAATAAATCATCTTTACATATGGCTATAACAACTACCATGTTGTTGCTGTTATACACTGTACCTTTATAATTAACCCACGATATAAAGCTTACTGAATCAAGGTTAAAGTTGTTATGATAATAAGTTGATTTATAAAATGTCAAAGGCATATATTGTAATTTAAGTTCTGTGGTTAAAATTATACTTTTTCCAAATTCAATTTCTTTACAAATACTTAATTCTTTTTTTAATAAAGTATTAGCTAATTTTAATTGGGATTTTAGTGATAGGGTATATGGTATGTTTTTTCTAGAAGAAATTGAATGTGCAATATCTTTAAACTCTTTATGTTTTGCTTCGAATCTCATTGACCAAAGAGATACAAGTGGACCAGAGTTTCTTAAAATATGTGGATAATGTGTCATATGATGATGTTTAGGTCTTAAATGAGTTTTAAATAACGTTAAGTATAATTCATGGTGCTCATCTATGAGAGATTGCAGTAATAATGAGTCTTCATACTGAACAGAACTCGACATTACCAAATCTAATATTTTTCTAATTAATATATAAATTGACCAAAATTCAGAATTGGTAGGAACTTTATCGCCTATGATTAAACCAAGGTATCTGGTGAAACATAAAGTTTCACTAGCAGACATTTTTAAAGTACTATTCTTAAGTGAATCCATTGATAATAAAGGAGGTCGATTTCGTATTTCTATAGATGTATAGTTGAAACATTCAATCCTATTATTAAGTGTTTCTAAGTCAAAATATTTAAATTGATTTATCATAATATACAATAAATTAGCAAGTTCAGCTTTACACACACCTTCTAACATGTCATGCATGATATCCACACTCAAATTTTCTGTTACATGAAAAGATGTTATCTGATTGAAGACACATAACTCTTTAATACCGGTTAATGATAAATTATTTATGTTTAAATCATCAGCATAATTAATTTTATTCCTCATGCTTGAGTCTAACTGTGTGGTATGTTGTTTACAAATTTCTTTAGATAGTTTACAGAACCTACATGGGAATTTTGCCATGAAACTTTCAGAAAAACCTAAAATGGAATGCATGCACAAGTTATCCCCAAGTATAAGACCTAATGAAAAATACACTTGATGTTCGGTATTCTTAATATTGACGGTTATTCCATCTGTTTCTAAAAAATTAAGTTCAGCTATTAAATTTTTAAAAGTTTCAAAATTACCAAAACTTTTTTTGTCATCAGTTTTAAAAAGCAAAGCCAAAAAAATATTTTCCAACGATGATATTAATTCTGAAGGTAAACAAGGTATTGAAACGTAAACAGCACCAAGCTTCTGACTACCAGCATGGGAACCTAGAGGGTCATTAACCTCAAAATCATCGTAATACAAAAACAAAGGGAATAAAAGTTTATTTGGGTTTTTCAGTATTTTACCTTTCCAAATTTTTGACTGAACAAAATTGGTAATAATTGAATTATTAGTTGATACTAAAAGATTTTTCAAGTTTGATACTGTTACATGAAAAAAGTTGGAATGTTCAAATATTTTTTTTAAAACTATCCGTAATGGTATGGAATATGTTTGAACTTCTTTGGGTACCAATACCATTCTCCCATGATGCAATTTATCATCCATTTTATACCCTATAATATTTTTTACAGGTCTCACTAAAACTCCTATATCATCTAACATTTTTAAACGCAAATGTTCTGTTTTGATTTTAACAAATGGATCAGATAAAGCTGTAAATAATGAGGATATGTATTTTTTATCGTTTTCATTTGAAACACTTACATTTTTGTCTATATTCAATTTTAAAATAGATAAACAAGATTGCATAAAAAATTGCACATCATCTAATATATCTTGTACTTTATTTCTTGGAATACCTAATTGTCCATACCATTTACAAGATAATGATAAAGCATATGCTTCTACTGTTTCTTTTACATCTTTTAAAGTTGTTTCAGATATATTCCTATCAATTTTATTACTATTTGGTGTTTCATTAATGGATGTATTACTTTCATTTCTCACTGTATAAAGTTCATTATTTTCAATAGCACTTGAACTCATATTGGGCACATTGTCAACAGTAACAATAGGAACCACATTGTTATAAATATTATGTTGTTTAAGATGTTTTTTAAAAGAATTTAAAGAACTAAAACTTCTAAAACATTCATTTTCTTTACAAATATATTCAGTAATACTTTTTATATCATGTTGGATATTTAAATGGGATGTAAGAAAATTAACAGAGGCAAAAAACTTATTACATAAAAAACAAGAAGGCATATTTGTTTTAAAATTTAATTCTAAATAAATTTGTTATGAATTAAATAACAACTTTGACTTGAAAATCTAATAATATGTATGCTTAATTACAAGAGGGCATATTTGTTTTAAAATTTAGTTCTAAATAAATCTGTTATAAATTATTCAACGACTTTGACTTGAAAATATAATAGTATAGTATAATATTATAGTATGCTTAATTACAATTACGTAGATCATTGATAATTGTATCCATTTGTGGAAAACATTTATCAGTGTCTGTGTTTATTTCAAAAAAATATTTTTGAATAAAGCCCCATACTTGTTCTCCTTCGACTGGGTATTTATAGTTCAATGTAAAGAACGATTTAAAACAGGTATCAACTGCTTTGAGTGGCGTTTCCAATTTGTAATTGGTGCTGTTGATAACCAGAAAACTTTGGATTCTTTCTTCGGAATTAATTTCTTCAAAAATAGAACCCACAATTAAAATGTATGGTTGTACAGTGAGTCCGAATGTAATTGCCTTCTTGACGATCGATTCATGAGTATTTTTCACATCATTTATGTTCTAAAATATAAAATGTTAAAAACATTAAATTAATACCTAGTTACAAACACATAATTACATTTTTCATCATTAATACCCTCGTTAATACCTATATTAATACAATAGTTTTTTTTTTTATTTTAAAATTCAAACACCTTCAACCTAAAAATCATAGTTTGAAGCAACCATGAACAATTTAATGGGATTTTTTAACTGAGTTAAGTTAAGTTAATAGAAAAAATTACAAAGTTTAAAGTTTGTAGTAAAGTTATCCTAATTTTTTTTTTCAGTTCAGTTAAAAATTATATAGAAATTTTATTATATATAAATAGCCAGTAATAAGGTGTTAAATAATTTAATCATCAATATTATTGAGCACAGGAAATAGATTTACTATACATTAACTATACATTTTGAAAATAATTGTACAGATGAAGAGAATTATGACTATTAAGCATACTGCATACATAATAAGTATAGCATTTTGATTTAATAACATACAGATATTGACAATTGACTGTTAATAAATATAAACATTTTAAATAGATATGAGCATAACCCAAATGGTTTTAATTTAAAAACAGTAATACTAGTAATTAACTTAACTATAACTTTTTATACCCAGGCTAGGTTTAAAGTGTAATTTGCTGAAGCATTTTTTTATTTAAGCCCATATTGTAAATATTTAAACTTAAAACTTACATTAATGAAACGTATAAAAGAACAAGCTTGTTCCACCTTAGAGGGACGCCAAGAAGACTTTTTATTATTTGTCTTAGTAAGTTTTACACAAAGTGGTTGAAAAATCAGTGGCAACAACCATAAAGCAGCATAGACTTCATTACCTATAACAAAATATATTTAAAAAACTAAAATTAAACTTAATTTTGAATATAAAATATAAATAACCAAACACAGCACAGGATAACACAACATTTGTAAAACTGATTAATAATAAAAATGTAATACATACATATAGAAATTAATACTGTTCATTATTAATTATATATTTATACTATTTATAATGGTGATCACACTTATATAAATCATGTAGGATATTAACTTAATCTTGATTGAAAAAATATATAAAACACATTTTATCTGAAGTTAGTAATTAATTTCATAAAAAGGTAACTTGACTATATAACTTTAAATCCATTAATGCCCTGCAGGCTTTCAGATGTTGAACCAGTCCATTTAATAAATGTTATTATACTTACCAGGCCTTTTTGGGTTATTTAACTCAGCAATATATTCTAGACCTTTAGTTCCAAAATTTATATTATTATCATCTATATATTTTCTAAAACTTTGAATAAATAGTTCGAATTTAGAGAGCAATGCCATAGTTTTTGATGGATATAAATAATTAAAATCTGATTCTATCTACAAAAATACAAAAAAAAAATGCATAAATAATACAAATAAATTAATTAAAACTAAACATTTTCATTAAAAATAAAATTTTAACTAACGAGAGAAGGACCCAAGGAACTTAGTGTTAGTGCTGGAAACATACTAAGTGCATTTTCAAAACTCGAGCCAAGCCTATAAGGTGCTGTTAGTTTCCAATAAGAATAAACTGTTTCATTAGGCTCTGTATTATTTTTCAGCCAACAAATTTCTTCATTAAACTCTATACCTAATTAGGTAAAAAAAATTAATTAACTTCAATATACATTAGCAAAAAAATATTACCATCAGACATCACATTTGGAGAAAAATCATGTTGGTGGTTAGTTGAAGTAACTGTTATTGGTGAAATTTTTTTCATTTCTTTTCGTATGTTACAATATTTATCATATAATTTGCCTTTATTCGTTTTGGACCCTTCTCGAGTATAACCAATAAAATATGTTGATTTAATTTCACTGCTAAATAGTTGTTCGATGCCTAAAAATTTAATTTTTTTAATATATATAACGAAAACAGTATAAGTTAGAACATCATGAGTCATGAGTTATGACTAAGAAAATTATACCTTGAGATAATGTTTCAAATCTCATTTTACTAATTTTCAATTCTGGATCATTTTTGAGTTCATTTTTTATTAATACAGTAGATAAAATATTTCTCATAGAATTGCTTAATTTTTTATTTAATTTGTAATATTTTATAATCATTTTTCCATCTGAATATTGATTTAATATGTTTTCTATTTCATAATTAATCTATTTGGACATACAAATATAAGATACTTATTATATTTAAGCTAATTTATAAATATAAATAGGTACCTTATTTGAATTGTTTAAGGAAGTATCTTCAATCACAACATTATCAGAATAATTGGGTTCTAATAATAATTAAAGTAAAAATAATAACAATAAAACAATTAATCAATTAAATAAAAATAAATGTTATTTATATTCATTAAAAATATAAAACCTGCTCACCAGTATTACTTTGAATGTAAACATCTGAATCTATAGTATTATTTATTATTTCAATTGGAAAATTGTTTAAATCCTCAAAATTCATATCCACTTGATTAGTTATTTCTATAAGTTCCTAGTGAAATTATATATGCAAACATAAATTAGTTGAAATTAAGTTAACAATTACGTAATATATACTAACAGTATTTATTGACGATTTCGTTTTTAGTTCATTGATACCCTTTAATAATTTAGCTTGGTATCCCATTTGAGGAATCAGATCTTTTATCATTAATTCGGTTAGGCACACAAGTGCTTCACTATCAATACATTCATCTAAATACAAATAAGTAATTAAGTAAATAATACACCTAATATATACTTTTATATTTCCATGTTTATGTAGTGAATGAACTAACTTTCAATGTTAATAATTTATTTGACAGTTATTATTTAAATAATTACATTTACCTTTAAATTTTTCAATACAATTTTCCAATTTCCACTCTTTTAATTTAGATATGGTAAACTCGTCAGCCATTTTAAATTACCAACCTATTAAAATAATACATTTTAATGTGTAATACCAGCATTATATCTACCACCACTAAAGTCCTTAGTCGATGCTGTTAAGCACTAACATAAAGGTATTCATTACATCGAGACTCTAGTTTAATTAATACGATTAAGCACACAATACTTAACTATCATAATCAATAGAGTCGGTCTTATTTAATCGCAAAATCGCTCATTGCCATTGTAAACAACTTTACGACCATCTTTAAAAATTAATGCTATAGGTAGTAAACAAAATTATATATAGGTACATTTATACTTACATTTATACAAATGACACTAATGACAGCAAACACGTATAATTGATGTCGGGTGAAAAATTGACAACTGACAATTAATGACTAATCAAAATTTAACGACGCCATGGCGATGATGGACACTGGACAAAAAAAAAAGTAGTAAACAGTTAACACCAATATTTTCAGTCACTGCCGTCTGCCACAAAACCGAAACGGGTAAAAATAAAAATAACAATTAATAACAAAAACAGTGTGACCGCGAGCCGTCATCCAGTGTAACCGCCAGCCGTCGCCTGGCGTAATATTGCGATAATCACTATATAAGTATATAACAATAATAAAATACTATAAACTTTTAGTTGGAATTACTAAAATATAGGCAAAAAAAAATAAAATATTCACCTATAATTTTATAGTCAGCCCTACCATCTAAAACTAGTATTTTTTACTATAATTTAGGCAAATTAACCAAATATTTTTCAACTAAATATATAGGAAATTTATTATAATATCAACTACCTATCAAGATATCATCGCAAGTCGATGGGTGCCAGCAGAGTATTCGTAACCGGCTCAAGTTCTGAATAGTACTACAAGAATTCAAACCGTGATTGCATAGTTTTTTTTAAATCTTAAATGTAATATCATAACTTATTGATTTGTAGCGTTTATTGATGGGATTCTTAGAGATGATTCCAAAATACAGATCCACAAAAGTGGTGAAGCTGAATTGCCTATATAAAGTGCCGCGTCGTCGTTAATTGTATTATTGAATTATTTGAATTGTATTAAAAAATATATACACATTATATTTATGAAACACCAGAAAAATAGACATACTCGTATTATGCTACCTGCGCCGGAATGAAAAAATTAAATAATTATAGACTGTTATGTAAAAATAATGTAGTTTTTTTTCAACTCATAAAATATGCGCAATGTATCATGTGTGATACATTTAACAAAAATGGATTTCCAAGTACAATTTTGAAAATTCAAAGTTAAAAATATTTTTGTTATTATTTGAGACACATCAGAATTATATTTTTTTAAACCATAATTTGCATGTAAAAATTAATGTGTGCAATCTTGGGTTATGTATTATTCTGATATTTTAAATTTAAATGCATGGTAATAAAAAAAAAAAACATATGGAAATAAATGTTTTGATTACACATCTTCCTCCCATATAATATGCTACATTACACCACTTTATACTAGTACAATGATAATATACCTTATTTATAATAATATAATTGAAGTATAGTACGTAACAATACCATGCGCCTCAAAAAAAAGCATTTCGTATAGATTATGGTAATATATTCCGGAAGATTTATGTACATCTGGCTTTAAAAGTTAAGTATTTTTGTATACAAGCTTAGAGGAGTTAAAATAATAAACTCAAGTCACTCGAAGTAATTTACAATCGTTAGAGTTTCAGTCGTTTCATAAATATTCATTCGGCGACAAATTAGTAGGCTTTAAATACGTCATTACAGAAACAATATAAATTATTATTATTTCTAACGTTTATTTTTTTCATTTCAACAAATGTTTTCCTTTGTTCGGTAAAATGTATATCGATACTCAATGTTTACGATAAACATTCTTTTGGAACCATGCGGTACTACCTGTAACATGAATGGTTATAAAGTACGGTTTTGTTGTTAGTCGCCAAAATACGAGTTCATTATTATATTATTATGTAATAACCTATAAATATAAGCTACTATTATAATAAAACACACGTGTCACGTGGGTAATTGATAGGTACACACTACACGTACATTATATACCTACGCGTATAATGGAAATTTGAAATACATGATCACGATGGAATTATATGTTAAACCGAAGGGTTTTCGGGGCAACACGTGGAGGTAGTTTCGCATGAACACTACTAAAAATAATTATGTAATTACGTCCATAGGTAGTTTTCCGGAAATGTCGAGTAGAACTCAAAGAGTTCATTATAAATTAATTAAATACGTATATTTGACGCACCTCGCACATCATCTTGGCCGTTTTTCATACGTCTTATACAAAACAATAATTCTAAGTGATCCTTTTAAATGCAAATAGTAAATTACATTTGATCGAAGAGCATTAACGTTATGAGAAATAACTTTCGCATAATTTTAATTCATTACAAAACAGCATTTCTCAAAAACAAAAAAAATTTTTTAAATAATTTACTTTTTTCCGAATGACAACTTGACTTTTTAATTCTATGTTCGCGAATAAAATATTTTTATAAGTATTTGGGCTTGTGAAAATTCAAATTAAAACTAGAGAAAATCTTGCGAATGACTAAATTATCTAAAAACTATATTTCCAAAAACGTTAACACGTTTCAAGAAAATAATTGTCCATCCATAAATAATTTCGTAAAAATATAATGACACACTATTATTACTATTTTAAATTTAACATCATATTGTGATGTCAACGACGGGGACACATTAGGTAGCGGTTACAATTATTAAATGATTGTTACGGTTGTGTTAAACTATTTGCGGAGTTCGGTTTAATTTATAAATTTGATTAGCGTATTGACAGCTTTTGTTCGAGGTGCGAGGATTGTTAGAGTTTCTGAAAGTTGGAGTTCGTGCTTATAGTTTGGTTGATATATTGTCGGCACTCGAGAATTATATGTTTGACTGTGGTGACTGATGAGTGTACAGCATGTTTCCGTATGTGACGAGAGTTTAGGCTATTCGTGGTCGGAAATTGATTATAACTGCTCGTCTTATCTGGATATTATGACTGGTGTGGGCCACGGCACGATGTATTATTATTATATTTTCATCGTACTGCAATATACTGCCGTCGAAGTCGTCTGATCGCTATTGAAAGTTCGTAGACGAGATTTTTGGAAGAAGAAAAAAAACATTCTACGCGCAACAATATACTCACAGCGAACATTCTTGACAGTTATTTTTGTGCTATGTCTCTTAGATCGAGAATTGGACGTATATTGCATTTCGCGTGTGTTAAAATTACAAAACGTTCTTATATATATATTTTTCTATAAAAACGTATACTATAAAATAAATGTTTAGATATAAAAAACGAGATCTGTTGAAATCGTTTTTACAGTTCATCGATGATAAATGACTCTTGTACAGTTGTACTTATCTCGGATTTAACGTGACAACACTTGTCTAGGGCACATACCAACATCTGTTGCTAAGCATTTAATAAAGTACATAGTACATACTTGCCAAGCGTGAAATTTGTTTATACGTTTTGTAATTACATTTTCATTGTATAGCTCGTAATATTATTTTTATTATTATTATTATTATTTTTTTTTGTCACTGCTGTTCGACGAATACGAAATATATATATTTATTAATACGAGTATATGCTGTGTGCATATAGGATGTGGGTACATTTTAAAATTCTCTATACCATGGTAACAGTTTTTCTCTCATATTTAAATTACGTTTTATCCTATTTTCCAATGTTTGAATAGATTGATTCATACAGAAGATGCCCCATATGACACAAATATTTTTTCGTATTAAAAGTGCATATCTCTAAAATAATTTTTTTTGTCACAGCTTCTTTTTCATTTAACTATAGGTATCTACTAATTATTTATAATTTATGCATAGATGATAGACTTAAGTTTAATTGCAATATTAAGTTGCGCTGTACCTACCTATGGATATTGTATATAAATATAATATTTTAATGAATTTTCTTTTTATTGAAAATTATATATTGAAAAAAAAAATGATTTTACTAGAACATAAATCCATAGTAATATGATCAAAATAAGTTTTAGATAATAATACAATATTAATTATCCTATTTGAAATTAATAGTTACTATTTAAATTTAGTTATATAAAGTCTTCTGAATTAATTATTTTGTAGAACCTTACCANTGAAGGTGCTAAATTATGTTGTGGTGTCTGGTAATGTTGTGTTAGATTTGTATAACCTGGTGGTGGTTGAGAGTGAGATGAAGGTGCTAAATTATGTTGTGGTGTCTGGTAATGTTGTGTTAGATTTGTATAATCTGGTGATGGTTGAGAGTGAGATAAAGGTGCCAAATAAGCTTGTGGTGTCTGGTAATGTTGTGATATATTTGTACAATCTGGTGATGGTTGAGAGTGAGATGAAAGTGTCAAATTATTTTGTGAAGTCTGATAATGTGATGATGGTTGGGGACGATACTGATATGCCGAAAACCTTGTTAATGCTTCAGTATTATTCTGTTTAAGGGCATAAAGAAAATTGTCGATTTCATGCATTGCAAATTCACGGGTATTATCATCTTTTAAATTCCTCAATTTTTTTGCAAGTAATTCAGAGTATAAAGAACATTCATCGCTAATTGGTGCATTTGACACTTTCTTTAGAATGTTATACGCTTCATCCATACGATTTTCAATAATTTTCTTATTACAGTCTTTTTTTGATTTTTTTCTATTTATTAATGGATTGTTGATAACACTTTCCTCTTGAGTAACCGAAGGAGTAGTAGTGTTCATTTCCTCATTCGCTTCTTCCTCGTACTGTTCATGGTCACTAGTGTCTTCATCTATATCACTAGTAGATTTGTCAGCTAATGCCTTAAAATCCAAACATACATATTATATAAATACATCAAAAAATAAATATTTAAATATTTTCATATTAAGGCTGATATAAAACAACAATAGTTAATATCAATGTCACATTTACAGTTACCAAAAAATCCTGAAGAATGGCTGAAGGTTGCAGAAGACTATGATGAGAAATGGAACTTCCCACATTGCATAGGAGCAATCGATGGGAAACATATAGTCATTCAATGTCCGATAAATAGTGGATCAGAGTTCTTTAATTATAAAGAAACTTTTAGCATTGTGTTAATGGCGTTAGTTGATGCCAACTACATGTTCACCTATGTAGATATCGGTTGTCAGGGTAGGATAAGTGATGGTGGTGTATTTAAAAATACATCACTATGGACCACATTAGAAAAAAATCAACTTATGCTGCCATTAGATACACCACTTTCGAACAAAAATGAGTTAGTGCCCTATGTATTCGTAGGAGATAATGCATTTGCATTGGGAACTCATATGATGAAGCCATACTCTGGAGTTTTTGAAAAGGGTAACAAAAAACGTATATACAACTATCGGCTGTCAAGAGCACGTCGGGTAGTGGAGAACGTATTTGGCATTTTG